TTATTCTAGCAAGAGAGAGAAAAGCAGCCAAGACAGTTGTTAAGTATTGTTTCAATTTCTTTGATAGAGATGGGCCTACAAAAATTGCGTATTTTTTCTAGCAAATTATATCTTTCATGGAATTGGTCCATTTTACCTAGGTTACCAAACTTGTAAGCACTGAATTGTTCACAATATTCCATTATTGTTTTAATATCCTTGGGCTATGTGACGATGTCTTTTCTTTCATTTCTGATATTTGTAATGTGTGTCTTATCATTTGTTTTCTTAGCCTGGTTAGATGATTATTAACTTTATTTACCTTTCCAAAACCCAGCTTTTGATTTTGTTAATTTTCCCTACTGATTTCCCATTTTCAATTTTATTGACTTCTGCTCTAATTTTTATTATGTCTTTCCTTCTTCTCATGCTGGACTTAATTTGTTCTTCTTTTTCTAGTTTCACAACATGGAAGCTCAGACTGGTGATTCAGCTTCTCCTTTATAATACATGTTTCACACTATAAACTTACTCTAAGTACTGCTTCACTGTACCTTACGAATTTTGATAAATTGCATTTGCATTTTCTTACAAATACTTAAAAAGTTTTCTTGTGATTTCTTCAACTTGGATATTATTGAGTAGTATTAATCTTCAGGTATTTGGGGACTTTTCTACCCATCTTTCTGTTTTTGACTTTTGTTTTATTCCACTGTGTCCAAAGGCAAGTGGCACTGTCTGATTTCTTTTAGACCTGATAGGGATTGTTAAACGGCCCAAATTGTCATCTAGCTTGGTGAACTTTCCACCTGAGCTTCAGAACAACGTGTCCTCTGCTGATGCTAGGTGAAGTTACCTATAGAGATCAATTATACCCAGTTGGTTGGTGACGTTATTGACTTCAGATAAGTCTTTTTTGATAATCTGCTTGCTGGATCTGTTCACTGCTAACAGAGGAGTTTCGAAGTCTTCCACTATAACAGTGGGTTCATGTGTTCTTCCTAACACCTCTATCAGTGTTTATTTCTCCTTTGCTGTAAGGTCAGTGTCATAGAATTCCAGGCTGGTAGCTTTCCTCCCTATGAACACTTTAAATAGTTCACTCTGTTCTCATTTCACTCGCATGTTCTCTGAGTGAGATATTCTTATCTTTGCTTCTCTCTAGGTAAGGTGCACCCGTCTTGTTTCTCTTGGGGTATTTTTCTTTAATCTTTGTTTTTCTACAGTTTGGAAATAGTACCCTTAGGTATAGTTTTTTTTGTCATTTATTTTGCTTGGTGTTCTCTGAGTTTCCTCAAGCTGTGATTTGGGGTCTGACGTTAACCTGGAGAAATTCTAAGTTACTGTTTCAATTTCATTCATCCCCCACTTCCCTCCTTCAGTAACCCCATTGCATACATGTATACCTTTTGCAGCTGCCCTGCAGTGCTTGAAGTTTTCTTAAATCTTTGATTTTTTATGTCCTATTGACATACTGTATTTCATGCTCAGAGATTCTTTCCTTGGCTGTGCCCAGTGTATTAATAAGCCCAGCAGGAGCCTTCTTCATTTCTGTATGTTTGACTGCTAGCCTTGCTTTCTAGTTCTAAGTATTTCCATCATTCTGCTCATACTGCCCACCTTTCCTTGCATAATGTCTATTTTATCCCGTATGGCCCTTAGCATACTAATCACAGGTATTCTGAATTTCTGTCTCATAATTCCAGCATCTCTGCCATTTCTTGTTCTGATGCTTGCTCTGTCCAACTGTGTTTTCTGACGTTTAGTATGCCTTGTAGTCTCCTATTAGAGGTGACACATGATTTTCTGGGTAAAGAGAACTGATGTGAATAGGCCCTTAGTGATACGGAGACATTCAGAGCGTGTCAGGAAGGGGACGCATTCTGGTATCTGGAGTTAGGTCTCAATCACAAACATTCCCGTCTCCCCACCAACTCCACCCCCTGGTGGGGCCGGCTCCCTAGACTGGGCTAGAAGTGGTTATTTCCCTTTCACAGGTCAGTGGGGTGCCAGTGACAGCCCAGCAGTTACACTCTGCTTTCTTAGCTGTTCCCCAGGGCCTGGGGCTCTGAAATATTTTAGAATGTCCCTTTCCCCACCCTCAGTCGACAAATGGATTGGCTTTCTCAGATATTTACTCCAAGAATCTATTTAACCCTCTAGAGGTGAAATGGAAGTGTGGGGACCACGCTATGCTCAGGTTCCTGGTGCTGTGGACCCTCCGAGCCCTCCGACTTCTCCATTTCCAGGCTGTGGTGATGTGTCAACTCCGGGTCAGGTGTTCCTGCCCCTCTCGGTGCCCAGGAGATTTCTCCTGAAGTGTGCTTCTCTGCGTCTGCCCCCGGAACACTAGTACTTCCTGGGCTCTCGCTTCTCCTACAGATCTAAGAGTTTCTGGATGTTTGGTTTGTTTAATTATTTACACCCTTCTTACATGTGGACACAAAAACTGGAAAACAGTATTTTTTCATTAAAAAAATGAGAGGTGGCTGGACCTTTATCTTGAGGTCTGATTCTCCAGAAATGATTTTAAGGTTCTATTCCCTACACTGAAAGGATAAATGAAAGAGAATAATGTTTTAGAAATGATTTACTCAGGGTGGGCATGGTAGTGTACATCTGTAATTCCAGCACTTGGGAGACTGAGGCAGGAGGATTGCCGAGAGTTCTAGGCCAGCCTGGGCTACGTAGTAAGTTCAAGGCCATCCTAAACTGCATTGTGAAACCTTGTCTCAAAAAGACAAAGGAAAAAAAATTTACTCATCTCTCAGAATTTATAAAGTTTCATTTAGACTTTCATGGAAATTTTGTTAGAGAATGTCTTTCGAAGAACAGAACTTCATTTATTTTCTTCTTGGGTCCAAAGGCATTTTACACTTTTTTTGTACCGATGCTAGGTAAGTAGATCTACTACAAATTAACCTTTTGCCACCCAAGGTGCAGAATCCTACATCTCAAAATGCATGTTACTATAACCAAGAGGGGTGGAAACTTTCTGCTGAGATACTACAATTCACTAGCTTGAAGGTCAGTCCGTTTCAAGCAAAAGTAAAGCTCAGGACCCTGAGCTGCCACTTATTTTACAGGACCACCAGGGCGAAAGGCACCCCACAGGGTCCACTTGTGGAATGCATTATTTTTTGTTTCCTGCTGTTTGTAGATCATTGATCAAAAAAAAAAAAAAAAATCAATGACTCAACCTTAAATGATAGTAGTCTGTAGGGGAGAGAGACTTCTCTTCTAGAAGTCACTTTAAATAAAAGCAATCTATTGTCCCTTTTCCAACAGGATCGCTTTGATGCTTTATTTAGAACAAAACATGACATCAACTCTCCACAAATAGTAAGATCAAAAGATCCGAAAAGAAGGCAAATAGATGTATAGCAAGTCTGTGAAATAACCTGTGTTATAACTCACTATTTCTTAATAAACAGTAGTTAAAGTACTCCTGGGGGTAACATACGCTCAAGATGGTGAGGTTAATAATACTTGTGTTACCAAAGGAATTTCAAAATCCTAATTTGTAAAAGAACTTCTACCTTGAAACAACTTTACTCAGGATACTAAGTATACTATATTTACTTACTAGCAAGGGTAACATTCTTTTTTTTTTTTTAAAAAAAAAAAAAGGAAATGATAGGATTCACATTTTCTGTTAATACTTTTTCAACCCAAATTGAAGTTAAGAATTCTATGCTTTCAATAAAACAATATAAACCCTAAATTATATAAACTAATGACATTTGTTGAATTCTGGTTTTGAGAACCTAGTTATCTCATTAAGACCCATGAATCAGAAGTATGGAAAGGGGAACTGGATAATGTTTGGCTAAAGTGACATAATGAACCCAGAATTTGGTCACGGTATCCAAAGCTTCATTAATAATTAACTAGAAGAACTGAGCTACAAAGGATGAATTTTACAAACACAGATACACCATTCACCATGCACCCAACACGTACCTTCGACAGCTCCATGCCTGGCCCGCACGGCTGGCAGAGAACACAGTTCCCAGACCCATCTCTGAATTCTTGTTGTCTGCAGTCTCCGGTTTCACAAATCACTTTACGTGACTGGAAAAAAGAGGTCCACCAAATGTTATCTTACAGCACCTACATTTTATTGTTCGCAGTAGTCACGTAATAGCCGAACATACGCATCAACTCCGAAAGGTCAATCGATTTTCACTTCAAGAGAAAAAACCACTTTCTGAATGAAACAGTAGGCCTAGTTCTCAGTAAGCTAGACAAGTCAGTACGCCTCATTCTTCTCTGTATCCAGAGAGTGCTCACGCGTTCCGTACGTAGTCTCCCTCCTTCCTGAAGTTAAATACCATCTTCCAGAAACTCTTCTGTGTACTCAAGGCAAAAGCGACCTTGTTGCTTTTATCTTTTCTAAGATGACACAGGAAAGGACAGCCCTGTGGAAACCCAAGGTCCCTTGGCTACCTGAAAAATTCTGAACGAACAAAAGAAAGCTAAACACAAAACACTTTTTTTGCTCTTCAAGAGATATAAATGTATTCAAGTATAATAAACTGAATAACTAAATCGATGTGATATATTCTTATAGCCACAACAAGTTGCAATTATCCTTCAGACACAAAGATCTGAATGGCTTTGATGGAGAATTTTCAATCTATTTCACTGCACTACATCTACTTAGAGGTTATCTTTCAAAAAAACTATTTGACAATCATGAGATCAATGAAATTCTTGACGATGGTGGTGGAGGTGAAGGTGCTGAGGATGAGAACCATGGCCAAGATCTCCAAAACTCTTCAAAGCAAAGTGCTGTGAGAATGTGAACACCCTTCACTGGCACCACCTGGCTATTTCCTATGTACTCCAGCTCACAGCACAGAACTTTGATAGAAAGATTGTACTTTGACAAAAACAAAGTTTTGAAAATCCTTTTCTGAAATAAGTTTTATTCTCCTATTTTAACTAAAACCAAGGCTGCCTTATGACTATTACCCTATAGAATTGCATTTACCCGCCTCTTAATGGATGCTATTTCCTCTGAAATGATGGTACTGATGGCATGTCAGATCTGGTGAAGACACTCAGTTCACACTCTTACCCTAGGTGCCCTGAGTAACGTTAGTGATCTTAACTGTGTTCTCCCGAATGAAGGCCGAGACACCCAGGTGGGCTGTGGGGACGGTCTGCTGTGTGCAGTGTCTCTCCCACATTGCAAGAAGGGAACTATTTCTGGCGCTCATCCTAACAGGCAACAACGAATTACTCCCACCTTGAAGCAGGAATATATGTAATGATACCTAAAAACACCCTTAAATAAAGCTAAAGCCTGAGCCCCTGGGCAAATGGGAGAGAGAACTCAAGAAGGGGGTTAGAACTGCAGACTTCCTTGGGGCTAAAGGCCGAACACTCCCTTTCTACCTCTCTCAGCTCCTTCTGACTTTGAGGAGTCTGATTTTACTTGGTATGACTTTGCCTTCTACCACAGAGAGACTATTATCTCCTACAGGAAACTCCACAGATTCCTTTAGATTTTTATTCAGTGTTTAACAGCTTCCATTAACAGAAGGGAAGCTTTTCTTACACACTACCTACCTGGATCTCAGACTCCAGTATGACTTCATTTGCTCTTACCATGTCTTCCAAGACTTCAGGCAGTCTTCAGTGTAAATAAGTCTCTATAACTGTACATCTTTCTTATATCTCTACATTAAGTAAATTTCAATTCTTTTGGACACTTCCATCAATCTTGGGTTACACTTTCAAACAATACTTTCCACCTGTCTTGAATACTTTTGGAAACCAAGCTGGATATAAATAGCTATCAAAATAGTACTCTTAAACATCCATTCTAAATTCTTTATTAAATTTTAAGAGGCTCCAAATTAGCATCTATGTCTTATTAGAGTCTAGGATGTGTTATGAGAGATATGTACCTATAAAGCTAAGAGAATGTCATTACCCTAATGCTCTAAGCAACAAGGAAATTTTATGACTTCATCTAAATTCAAATAAAGTAATTTCAACACTTGTTAAAAGCACCACAGTTTAGCAATACTTTTTCGCTTACTATACCCAGAAGTTATCAAATGCAATTTGGAATGAAAAATAATACAAGATCTAACTTTCACTACATTCTTATGAAATAAATGGGTTTACTTACCAGATAGCCTAGTAAAAGGAGAAGGGTGAAGAACGTCTTCTCTTGTTCCTGCAGTACTCTGAGAGCCATTTTTCTGATCAAATGTATCCCAGGAGGGTTCTAAATCAGAGCTGGGAAGAAAGACACAGTCAACACCAAAAGCGTTAGTGACTCGGGGCCCTATGTCCCGTCTAATGTCCGCATTTTCTAGATACATTAGGAACTAAATATTATTCATGTTTAAAAAGACACAACAGACGTGTAATACATAATTCTTTCAGACTTTAGGTAATGAGAATTGATGCCTTGTTTACCTACACATTACAAGCCAAACTCCTACTTGCTCTGAATTCTCAGGTATACCTGCCTTTATTTCTCTACCCAAGCCTTTAGTATCCAATCTACTTCATTCAGAACAGAATCACATTCAACCAATGACTTATAAATCTTCTATTCAGACAGGGCCAACAGGATAATAGCAGTGACTGAAAAAAAAATCTTGCTAAGTGCCCTGAGTATAGTGCTATTTTTAGAATGCTGCGCTTCACAAGTACTCTAAAATGTCAACACTATCCTTCTGTCCATTTTAGAGATGGGGAAACTGAGGCTGTGAGAGGCTGAATAACCTGCCCGGGGTCATCTTGCTGGTAAGAAGGAGAGCTATCTTCAAACCCAGGCAAAATGGCTCCAGGGTCGCTGTTCCTACATGTACTGTGGATATGTCTGCTGCGCACGGCACCATGCTTGGTCCCAAGCACAGTGGTGCACGTCTGTAATCCCAGCACTCTGGGAGGCTGAGGCAGGAGGATCCCAAATTCTAGTCTTGTCATGGTTTGTGTCTGGATGTCCCCCAAAAGCCTTAAGCAGTCCTGGGGCGGGTTTCTTATGATTGATTCCTGGTTGTGAGTGCTACACTCGCCCTGGGGCGGGCAGTTTGTATACAATGTAAGGGAGGGAAAGGGGCGGCTTGTGGCTTCCCCCAGGTGCTCTTGTTGCTTTTGCTGTTTTCTACTGCCCTCTGCCATGTGCCACCCTGCCTTGGAGCCAGCCAAATATGGACTGAAACCTCCACAAACTGAGCTAAAAAATCCTTTTCTTCTTTAATTTTGGGTGTCACGTATTTTGTCTCAGCAACGAGAGAAAAGTAAGACAGGGCTACTGTGGGCAATTTAGCTACTTAGCAAGACCCTCTTCCAAAACTTAAAAAAATAAAGAATAACACACTGGGAAGAAGTTCAGTATGCAGGCCCTAGGTCCAGTCTTTAGCACAAAAGTAAACAAGCAAGCAAGCAAGCCAACAGAAAGTACTATGCTTGGCTCTTGGGATCTTCGTCTCCACCAGGAAGCAGACAGCTTCGGTCTGGCCTGTGTGAATTCTCCAAAGCAGCACAATGCAAATTACTCACTGGTAGAAAAGTAAGCACTCATTTAAAATGTCTAAGAGTCGCAAGCGACACAAGGGGAGGCCGTGACCCAACGTTTTAATAAACATAAACCCAGTGTCTTGATTGTCACCAAGAATGGTTTAAAACGCAGAAACAAATCTGATTGTTTTTATAGAGACACACAAGGTCAAGCCAGGAGATTTAAAAAAAAAAAAAAATGCCTTCCTCTATTAGGAACAACAGTTTGGTTTCTTTTAAAGTAGAATCTTTCAAAATTAACAGAGACCCCGAACAGCTAGATCACCCGATTACTTAGAAATCAAAGCAGAGAACAAGAATACAGGGCCAAAGGGCCCGAGCAAAGCAACAACAGCGGCAGGACAAGGGGCTGCGCTGGGCAGGCCGCTCCGGCTGCTGCGCGGGGAGCAGGGGCCAGGCCAGCTGTCCGTCACAGGTAGAGGGCCCTGGAGGAGCCTAACCAAGAGGTTCACTTCAGACGCCTCTGCAGGTCCCATCCGCAGGGCAGCAGGAGCTCGCCTGCTGAGCGAATGGCCCATTCGGAGTAAATTCAAACTCTTCCAGCTTCCCAGTCAGAGCTTCCGCCCAGCACATCTCAGAGGCATCCAGCCACTGTCCAGCCAACAACCTACTGCTCGTGACCGAGGGTTGCGGGTGGTGGAAAGACAAGGGCCTTCTCTGAAATGCACGCTTCGGGTTAGTGTTCTTGACATGGTTCTAAATTCGAAAAACGTGTTAATTTCTAAAAAGTTAAAAATGCACAATTTATAGCTAATGGAGAAAAGAACATACAGGTTGAATATCTGTTATTTGAAATGTCTGGAAGCCGAAGTCATTCTGATTTCAGATTGCCTTGGATTTTGGAATATCTCCATATGTATAATGAAATGTCTTGAGGACGGGACCCAAGTCTAAATACTAAATTTATTTATGTATGCCTTATTGCCTGACGGTAATTTTATACAGTATTTTTAAGCACTTTTTTTTTTTTTGAGACAGGGTCTCACTATGCAGTTCAGGCTGGCCTTGAGCTCACTTTGTAGCCCAGGCTGCCTCTAACTCTCAGCGATCCTCCTGCCTCAGCCTCCTGAGTGCTGGGATTACAGGCGTGCACCACCACGCCAAGCCTTTTACAGTATTTTTAAATAATTTTGTGCTTGAAAGAAAGTCTCATGCTGTGGAATTTTCTACTTGTGGCATCATGTTGGCCCTCAAAGAAGTTCAGAGTTTGGAGCATTCTGGAGTTTGGATTAGACATTTTCAACCAGTCATACCAATCCATTGACACCAAAGAGAAAAACAGACTGGCAGTCTCGATATACCAAAGGTGCAGCTGGTTTGCACAGAGCGCTATCCTGGGACCATGCCAGCTTCTGGAGAAGACAAACAGGAAGTGCCTCTTAGCAATGCCACGTTCAGACTCCACATTTATAGAGATAAAAGCAGAACGTATCTCGTAGTAAGAATTGAGTCCCGTGCCTATGGAAGAATAAATCTCCATCGGGGACGGCTGCTGCGGTTTGTGCTGCTGTTGTTACGGGGAATATCACCGATCGGACGTAAGCCCAGACCAGCTGCTCAGCGTGGAGACCCAGTCTCCTTCCGTCTGGCTCAGCTGGGGCGACGGCACCCAGCTCCCAGACTGCTGTGGGGATGCAGTGAGCGAAGGGTCCTCACGCACGTTCAGGACAGTTGACTGATACCACGGTTTCCGGACACAGTAAGCGCTCTGTAAGTGTTAGCGACGCTTGTCCTTCGTGTTACGACATTACTACTGCGGATCGAACGCTCTGATACGTGTGAGCACCCCTGGAGACTATACTGACAAATGCGAGACGTTCAGATGACTGCGATCAAGGGGCAGAACTGATAATCAGTACCCAACTAAGTCTCAGACTTCACAGCTCCTCTACTTACTCAACCAATGAGCTGTGAGCAAACAGTTACGGGCCCGAGAGGCGGGCAAGAGGCTGGGGTGAGCACCTCAAAGGTGGCCCTGAGGGAGCCCACACGAGGCAGGGCAGCGGCCTCCCAAATACCTTTCAATACAGCCTGGCAAGCAGCACTTTAGAAATAAACAATTTAGCTGCTGGAATGTTACTAGTATGACCTTGAATTTCCTGGAATAAAATGAAATTACTTATGAATTTTTTTGGCATTCGTAAAAAGCAGAAAAAATTAATGAAATAACCTGTGCTTAAGTCATAATATTTAAAATGAAAATAAGGCAATAAAAAGGTTATTTGTTGAAACTGCTGTTAAATTCTGGGCATTGGGGGTCTGACCCAAAGACAGAAAAATGCTTTTATATGTTTCAGGGTTTCTGTTTCTTTGGGGATGACTTATCAAACATAAGGCACACAAACTAGTGTGATTATGTACCGTGGGTCCACCCACTGGGGTTTTTACAGTTTGCCAAAATATCCAGATTGGAGAACACCTCCCAGCAATGCAGCACCCACTTGCGCAGAAGGCGTGCCGAGAAACCGGCCCTGCCTAGGAGAAAGCTAACAGCACCTGGCTGACCGCTCTGGAAGCACAGGAGTGCTGCCTACCTGCCATCCAGCAATGACAAGCAGGCTGGTGAGACGAGAACTAGGAAAGCAAAAAAAAGGGACACAAACCCAGAGCACGGAGCTGGCAAACACCCCCAGGAGGTTCCCGGGAAGTGGCTGCGTATCAAATAAAGCTGCTCAGCCTGCTCACGGGGGTGAGGCTGTACCCTAGTTGGCCCCCCTTGAACGGGAAGAATCCAGCAGGTTCTATCCGTGCACATCTCTTGCACTCCCTGTCCCAAACCAGGAAGCCCTGTGCAGGCGTGCCTGTGGGCAGAGGAGTGGGGCCTCACAGGGACAGCTTAAGGAGCCGTGCTGGCGAGGAGCAGCTCTGGGCTCCGACTCTTCCAGGGCGTCAGGGCACTAGCTTGGCCACCAGACCAAGACCGCCAGCTCTGCGTGCAGTGCCTGGCGCTCCGGAGCTGTCAGAGGTTTCGGCTTCCCTGCACCTACACGGGCACCTCGCCGTGACAGCTGCAAAGCATCCTGACTTTATGTCGCAGCATCGCTGCTTGCTTCTCTCTTTCTGGCTCTTGTGTTACGCTCAGCCAGTGTTCATTTTCTTTTGCCACGGCAGCAATGAACTTTTAAGGTTAATTTTCAATATTAAAGATGAAGCGCTTTCTGGAAACAGTAAACAAGCCGCCAACTGCAGGGTGCCATGTGAAGGACAGACGGCCCCGTGCTGAGCCCTGGTTGTTTCTTCCATGGACCAGCACAGGTGCGTCAGTCCCCGCCAAGTCCCCAGTGCCCTGCTGGACCCCTTCCTCACTGTACTGCTTAGCCATTCGGCTGAGTTTTGAGGTGTCGTGACAGAGACCCTGATTTCACTCCCGAAGTACACCTCACCCAGGACACACCTGGTGCATGTTAAACGACTAAAGAAATTCATTAATCAGAGATAATATTTTATCTCTCAGATGTGTAAGGCACGGAACAACAGATGTAAAATACTATGTAAGACTGAAACGTAAGTCACAGCGGGACCCCGCTCCTTAGACAAGGTGTTCCAATGCAGGGCAAATATCTTTGCCCTGAAACCACTGTCAGATTCTCAAAGTGTTCAATCAACAAAATCCAAAACGCTTGAGAAACAGAAGTGGTTTAGACTTCGGACTTTTTCAGATTTTGGAACTTGTGCACATACATAATGAGATATCTTGGGGGAGAGAT